TTTGCCTTTTAATATCTCATTTCAGTTTGACACTTTCCACATCTATGAGCCTGAATTGTTTTATCTGTGGAGCCTCCTTCTGATGTTCAGCACCTAAGATTTTTTTACACTGATTTTTGGCACTGACCTCCTATTCAGGCCAGTCTTACCAAATATATTGACAAGCAGCTGAACTATGTCAATCTAATTAGATTGTTTTGCAGGACCGCCATGGTTAGTCATCTGCTCTCATCTCCATCACTATTTTATAAAGCTCTGTATCAAGGTACATTTGAGGTAGCAAATTATGAAGGTCAACAGAGGCAGGCAAAACAAAGTCCCTCATGATGATTTTCTGAGAAACTGTTGTACAGACGCCAGCTCTTGGCGCAAAGGCCTCGGGAAAGCTTTTCACCTTGAAAATTCTCAGTCATCGTTTTCAATTTTACAGTACATTTCATTTCACATTTAGACATTTATATTATATATTACCCTTAGCTCACAGTGTCTGAGTGCTACCTGTGTAACATTACCCCCAGGGTAAAGAGCTGCTCTGTGCTCATGACAACCAGCCAAAATTCCCAAGGGACATGTTTTAAACTTAGCTTGGGTCCATTTGAGCCCACATGTCCACCAACCTCGCATGGGAGAAAGGACTCCAGATGGCCCGCACGTCTGTGCCATCCAAGCTGAAGTTAACACTCATACTCGTCCAAGCCGAGGCGTCAGGAGTGACATAGTTTCTTCTGCCATTCAGACAAGAAAAAAGCCAGTTTATTTTTTTTATTTTATTTTCCGAGAGGGAGCTGCAGTTGAGGAATAATAACAGCTATGGGACAAACAGTAAACCAGTTATGTGCTTTTGAGGTCAGAAGACTCAGTGCCTTTCAGAGGTACTTATGCTTTCATCCATAAAAACCACAACAGTCAATGTATTTTACTGATATTTTATGTTGAAACAGCTTGTTTCAACAAAGCAGTATGAGACTGTAAAGTCGAAGGAAGTGAACAGATATTGTTCAAATTGTTGTATCGATATTTGCATACAACAAATGTATGTATGAGTCGTGCTATGTAACTACCTCTTGATAGCTGTTAGTCTTGTCACGACTTTTCTCCTTCAGATTTGAACATCCAGAGACAAATATTTTCACCTATTCCAGCTTCAAAATACTTCAACCACAGACACAGTGGATGGAGAGTCCAAAAGTCTTAATGGGATTTTGGACTGGGATTAAACTGTCCCACTCTTTAAAATAAATAAATAAATCAAATCATTAAGTAAGCCTGCAAATATTGTTTTAGTAGTTTTAGAATTGTATGATCCATCAAAATTACTTCATCCAAGCAACTCTTTGTTCATTGCAAAACTGCATCGAAGATTTGAGCAACCTCTGATGCAGTTTTGTGAAACTGCAACGGAGGAAGAATTTTTACAAAAGAAACTTAATTAGAACCCTACCCAGAAAAAAATTCAAATTCTTGTTTCAGCATGAGTATTAAATATTTTTTTTCTGAATAGCGTCTGAATACAGTTCCAGAGTTGTCCCTCAGCTGCCTTGTAATTCCTCCCCGTGTATGTTATCTCAAGCTCTTTTCTATGTAATAACAAGTTCCCAGCTTTGATGCTCTTTAAATGGCACTGGCTGGATGAGTGGTCACAGATATGGAGTGGAAACTACACGGACTGCCATAATGACGTCTGAGGATTCGATAAAACCTTTTCTCCCAGGCACTACAACCATCCTTGTGGAAAATGTGATTACGCTTCTCCACAGGAGGCGCAGTTGGAAGATATTTTTGAGGCTAGGAAAAAACCTGGTTTTGTCATTGAAACTCATGTTTTGGTCTGCCTCAAACACTGACACTGTCATGTGTAACAACCGAATGAGTCTGCAGAAAAACTAGAATATAAATATTTCATTTCTGCTAAATCAAGCTGACTTGTAACCATAGTTGCAATGGGTCCTAAAGTTTTCCTGAAATGTTCATGTTATGTTCTGAAAAGTTAGTGGTTCTCTCAAGCTTCTAGATACTTCATTACTGTATTATAATCACAATATATTAGAATATTATCAGTCATCTTAATTAGTGAAACCTATTGTAAACAGTGAATACACAAAAAACAAACAGAACTTTTCATTAAAATTTAAACTAAATTCATCAAGCTTACTAGAAGTAATGCTTACCATGCATCATTGTCTGAAAATAATCTAATACACAACTTTTACGTTTTAAAATGAACTTAATGATTTTGTAATTTATGAAGTTACATGAAGTGTAAATAGAAACAACTATTTCTAAAACAGAAATCTACAAGTTGACACAGCTTGTAGATTTTTCATTTTATGCAGATATATAAAATGAAAAATAGCATTTTTGTTATAGGAACAGCTTGCTGCCTTTGCAACTTTAAAGTGGCTCAACCATCTTCCACACAGGCTTTCACACACAGCCTGTGTGAAAGTTTATCTGTGCAAAGGATAAACTAAGGATACATTGCTGTACATTCTTAGCCAACGGCCATCATTCTCTTCTGATTCCTCTGAACCTTTCATGTTTACAAGCTGAAAATTGCAGCCTGGACAACAGTTTCATATCTGTAAATTAAACTCTGCAAAATCAAAATGATGGTGCCCGACAGGAGTGAACAGATTCTAAATGCATTGCGAATGTGATTAATAGTCTTGTTGTGTTGTAATAAAATTGTGCTCTCCTGGCATCTTTGAAAGTCTCAATTCCCACACTCATTTTGCAAGCCTGAATGTGCTTCGCAGCAGGTTAATGCGCAAAGCAGCAGCTTTAAATGGAATCTCAATGAAGACAGGGAATGATAATGTGTTGTTTGCAATCTGTGACTGTTAATCTGTAGAGGATAATGACAACTCCACAAAAACGGGGGATTTAAAATAATCAGCATTAAACACATCACATTCCTCAATCATTGCAGTTTATATATTTAAATTAGAATAACATTTAAACATATTTTTAGGGAAAGGTGCATCTCCCCATGTAATAAAAATGAAAACAAAATATATTGATTTGTTAAATAAATCCTATGACTGAACAGATTGCTGATCTGCATCTTTGAGTCTGTTGTACAAAAAAAATAAAGTGGCAGATTTACATTTAGATAACTTTTTTTACTACTGAGACCTGCAGTTACAGTATTTATTCTGTAACTGCCAGTCTTGCGAGATGCTAATGTTTCATCATAGATGTTTATGTCAAAATAATTAACTTTAATGTTCAAACTTAATTTTGTTCTATACAAGAGTAGATTGAGAGAGAGTCCAGGTTTGTTTTCCAGTCATGAAAGTGTTTCTTTAAGATGGGCTCTGCAGGACATTTAATAATAAGAAAATATTCATATTTCAACATTCAATATAAATGTTTCAACATAAAATTTGTTCTCATAATATTGTTGATATATTACATTTTAACTTAATAAATTCATTACAATTTTCCAGAATTAAATATTTGCTTTTATGTATTAAAATGCTTGTACTGTTATATTATGTGAAATGAATATCTGTTTGCTTGTTTATTTTTCTATCCATCAGTGAATTCTGATTCACTATTATTTTATTAATCTGTACATTTTATTTTTTTCACTTTACTAACTAGCTCATTTTTCTGTTATTCCATTTGGTTATGGATTTATTTTTACCGTAGTTATGTTTCTGACTTAGCTATGAAATCATCTGCTCATTTTCAATTTATTTTTTGAAGTATTTAAATATGCTTAGATTTTTTGTTCTTACATTTTTTAAATAGTTAGATTTTTAATTGTTAATCCATTGGGTTTTTGTTGTGTTTTTTTTTTTTGGATACCTCAATTATGGATTGATTGATATATTAATCGATTGTTATAACTTGGTAATTTTGGCCTTTTTGTTTGATTTGATAAGAAGTGGAAGGTAAAGTCCAGTAAAACTAAAGCCAGAAACTAAAGTAGGACTCCATTCAGTTGTCAAAGAACTGTATGGTGACGTTCTTGCAAGGTTTTCACCCATCAGGCAGACATCCGGTGCTGGACCACAAGGGCAAAATTGAGGGTGAACACCAAAATAATGAACTGGAAAGCGACACCAGGGGCAGAATAATGCGAGAGTCTGGATGTCTATGAACGCGATTGGTTCGGGTATCAGCATCGATAGAAATGGCTGGATCATGTGGTTTAGTGAAACCAGATCTCATGAGCCCCAAAAGGAAATAATCACTGTTACAGCCAGAGAACAAAACCAAAGAACCACATGTTTCCTCTGTTAGCTTCTGTAGATAAACATGTCATAAGTGCATGATCTTTGTGAGCCTTGTCATTAACGGTTCCTCACACATGAAGCAGGACTCAGATGTCCTCGCTGACATGCATGTGTCTGCACCCGCATTCTCACTCCCACACAATCACCCAATGCAAACACGTAATGCAGCGCCCCTGCTGCGTGTTTAGAAAGGAAAACAGCTTGTAGGGATGACTGGCCACGAAAAATCAGAGAACAAAGAGACAAATAACGCTCGTCAAGTCATTGCAGAGATTAGAATGTCACTTGGGAGCCAAAGCCCAGCATAAACACCCTGCTGTGCAAAATTTCAATAATTTTTCCTTACAGCAATATTATCCCCCTCTTTCTCTACTTTCACCCTGCTTTTGTTTGAGAAGCACATAATTCACTCCAAATCATAGCTGTGCTGTCTGAATTTTTAAAGGGTTTTGTAGCTTAGCGGTGAGATTTGCCCTCAGCGGAGACGTATAATCACGCCTGTTTTGTTTCGGATGTAGAGGAGATAGCTCAGTTTTCTAACTGTTTCAGAAAGAAAGAATTATGAACAGTCACAAAGGTCAAATATGTAAAACATCAAGTGATTTGTTAATGCATGAAGGCTGATTTTGTATTCACCTGCTAAGGAACGGCACTTGACCTTTTCATTTTTAACACCTTTCCCACAGACATGTTCATGCAAAAGCGATGTGTGGGACGTGGACTTTGAGCGCCATTTTCTTTTATCTCCTTTTGTAGGCTGAGTGTTCCTCCTTCTCTCTGAGAGTGAATGTGTGGCCTGGAGGATTTTCTGAGGAACCATATGGCACAATACACCACAATATAGGTAAGGTTGCCTTTTGCCACACCGTGAAGTCTGACATCGCTTTTGAATCAAAAGCTCAGAATCTTAAGGTCATAATGTGGAACTTTCTGATCTGGTTTCTGAATTTATTCTTGCTTTTTTTTCAAGAGGAAGAAGTTAACAAAATAAAATAAAATATAATAATGTCACACTGTTAATATTTATTAATCAAAGAAGCCAAAATAAAAACAAACAAAAAAAACTATGTAGGAAATGCAACAGTTCATACAGTCACCTGTAGCTGCAATACCCCTGTGCAATTGTTTTAAGTGTTAATTCATTGTGAAGTAAACTTTTTTACAGCTCATTTAGGTTTCCCAGATAGTAACTCATACATAGCTCACTTAAAGTTAACCTAACCATTTCATCATGTACATGACATTGTTCCAGAGTGGCTAATCCTAACCCACTTCAAAAACAAAGTCTTTTTAGTCTTAGAGAAAATGCAAGAACTTCATCTGAGATTTGCATGGTCTGTCTTGGAATTTGCTGGAAATTTCTACATCTGGGAAACTTTTTCACTTGGGAATAATCTATGTGTTAAGTGATTGACTTTAAATTAACTGAACATGACCTTATGACACTTGACTGATAGGCAACAACAATTACTTTGGTAAAGTAATTGCTAATGTCTTTCCCTCTGGTTCCGAACAGCAAACTCAGAAAAGTTCTGCTTTTAGAGGAGCTTCCCCTTGCAATCTAGAGGAGCAGCAATTGGATTTAGTTTGCTATCGTTTGCTTGTTTGTTTTTTCACATCTTCTCTGTTGTGTCTTGTAAATAAATTTAAAATAATGATGTATTTTTTAATCTTGATTATGTCAAGACACATTTTTTTAAAGAGACAATACAAAAAGTACCAAAAAAATGTGTAAAAGTTGTGTATAATTTAACCCTTTCTGCATCACATTGATGCCGTAAACTCAAAGGCTATCAACACTTCCTACACATGTGAATGTTTGCATAGCTTATAATGCTTGCATATTATAACCACAATTATTTTTAAATGAAGTATTCCTCATTTCTTTTTTTCTCATGAACCATTTGCAGAGTATTTTTCCCCAACTGATCACAGTAATGATGCATGTGAATGTTTTATCTCTGCTCAAGCTGAGACTTTCTTTGTGGGCTTTAGCTAAAGGGGTTTTTGTTACTGCACTAAGACATTCGCTTGGAGACATCAGCCATTTTTTTTTACCCCAACACAAGTAATTTTTTCATCATTATTTCTGTTCAGTTTCAGAAGAAAACATTTTGATAATATCTTCCTGGATTCTGCAGTGAGCTTTAAAAAAAATGAAGATGTGCTTTTCTCCCTCAATATGCTCAGCACAAACTGAGTGTGTGCAAAGTTGATATATGGGTATTTATAGTGCAAAGTTGGTCATGTCAATGGAAATAACATTCATATGTATTACAGTATTCCGGTGAATGTATTACTCTGGTGGTGAAATCTTCAGAGTCTGAGATATCGCAAGCAATCTCTTATTGGGTGTTGCCATGTTAAAATCCCGACTTCTCCTGTTATGTTAATTTAAATGCTGTCATCTCAGGTGTGTTCCAACTTCGAAGATAAATAAAACGGCACATTAATTTCAGCAAGACACATCTGAAATATACTCACACATCAGCCTCAAATAGCTTTTATAGTTACAAATATCGTGTCCCAAATCAATTTCCTCGTTTTTTTGTTTTGTTTGTTGAACTATAACACACTGGTATACTTGAACCTCTTGTTAGGTACATTTCACTATTTTCCTCAGCAAATATCCAAAAGGAATTAATACAGTTTCCTATCTACATTCTAATCTAGTAGGCAATTTGTTCTTTTTTTTTTTAAGTTTCGAACTACAGTAATGCCTTGTTTTTTTTTAACTTGACAAAGCATCCCTGACACATTAATCTAGGCATATTCGATATGTTCTTTTCACACTTAATTTTTGTGGAGATATTCAATCTTAGCAGTATGGATTAAACACACTTGTAAAATCAGCATACAGAGTTCTGATAAAAAGATTGCTTTCACTCAGCTCACAGGAAAGAAGGACCACTGAAGTTGTTAAAAAAAAAAAAAACTATAGATTTGGAAGTGTGTACTTTCTTGTAGTTCATGGTGCATTTTCAAAAGCACAATGCATGTATTTATTTTTTAACACGTTTGTGTTTTTGAAAATGGAAGTGCCAGAAAGGAAGTATTAGTCTAATTGTGTGTGAAATGTCAAATAAAAATTTGCTGGAGCTTAAGATTACTGCAAAAGTAAACATCAGACAAATATATTGAAATACAAATTGATTTCCAAGTAAAACATAAAAGTCATCTGTCGTACAAAACTTGCATTTAAAACAAGGTTGATTATGTAAGTAATAATGGATGGAGCCATCTACATATTGATTTTAACATTATTCAGGAATGGGAGCCAACAGTAAAGATAGATCATAACAAAATGAAGAGGCCCAATCAAAAGAGAAACTAGCAAAACTAATAGTGCTCCGTAAATGGTCATTGCTAACTGATACTTCCATAGATAAGCCTGTTTGGATGTGCAGTCAGAGCCAGGAATGGTGGAAATGTGATGTGATGCATTTCAGCGACAGACTTCTTCCTCAAGTTCAAAATTATAATTTTCAGCCATTGTTTACCTCTGGATTTACCATGTTTGGCTCATGGCGGTGCAGAAATATGATGAACAACTCATATAAATTTCATAAAAGTCAGATAAAATGCAACATAACCGTTCTAACTACATATTTGAAAACAATCAAATATGTTTCCAATTTAGCAAAACAAGAAAGTAGCACAAATCATATTTTTGTGTGGTGAACAAATCGGAAATGGGCCAATTTGAAAAAAAGTGAAAAAGTTGCATATAGGTCACATATGGACTAAATAAGTGGATTTGGGTCGCATTTGTGTATTGCATAAATGTGGACTATGTCAAAGTCTGTCTGAAAGAACAGAGATGTTGTTCTTTCAGCAGCAGTTGCATGATGTGTTTGAGTCTTGGTTTATGGGCTGTTCGTGAACATCTTAAACCGTTTTAACTTAAATTTCAATGAATTCTACCAATTCTACCAAGAAATTTTGCAAAATATACAATCATAAGAAGGATTCAGCAAAGAAACATGCTGCTTGCTAAGAGACATTTGATCAAATATCAGTAGGGATGTATGGATATATGAGAACCTGTGTGTACAATGTTGTTCATGTGTGGAGAAGAAGAAGAAAAAATTGCATTGCCGATATTGGGAAAACATTTCATCCCTGAAAGATGACAGATCAAATACAAAATCCTAACACCATCATAAAAATGACTCCATTTTGATTTTATATAAACATCTCGATGAAGCATCAAATGTTTTCTAATCGAGAAACATTCTGTCTCTGGCAACAGTCGGATGAGGTTACAACTTTGCAGTTAAAGCTAAATGGGAGCCAAGATTTATTGGATTGGACAGTTTCCTGGGAAATCTTGAGCTAACCAGCCGCTGCAGCAGATTGTGAAGAATACGGGTGGAGTGTCATGTTGCTTCAGAACGAGGCTTCATCTGTTAATGATGATGTCTCTGTTGTAAAGCAAGTGTCAGTTCTGAGCTGCGGTGAAAGCTGTCCTACTTTCTTCATGCACACTTTGCATCATGATGGATTTAATGTGATCAAGAGTAAGCGCACGTTTTTGATGCTTTGTGCCTGTTCTCTCCAGAGGAGAGACTCATAGAGAATGTGCAAAATAAACTTTTTTCTTGTCTGCATTCAAGTTTTTTTATGAGCTTAGTAAATCCTGTATCAAAACAAAACAATGCTTAAATGTAGGCTGCAGGGGGGTTATAATGATTCAAGTGAGAGTGAACACCAGTGGAAGAGAGTCTTGTTGTTTTGGGGTTTTACTGACACAAAAATATGACGCATACAAGAGTAGAAAAAGTAAATTTAGTGCTATTTTAGCATATAAATGTAACTGTTTGGGAAAAAAACATGTCTATAAATTATGTGGATATTTCATATGGATTCTCTGCTATAAAATGTTGTAGCTTATAAAGTTTAATTTTCCTGTTTAATTTCCATTAAAGGCTCTTTTATGTGTGAAGTTTTTATTAATCTTCCCCTGACTAACAGAGGACTCACATGCATAGTGAAAAAATCCCCAAAAAGATTTTTAGATAGCACACTGACTGAAGGCCTGATAAATCATTTTTGACTCATGGTGAGGAAATCCGACAAGCTTCCACTCAATAAAGGAATAACTCCACCCTTTGCAAGGTCTTGGGAAATCCATCATGTATTGTTTCAATTAGTTCCCCCTTTCAATGTGTGATTCCACTAGTCTGACGTCTTAATAAAAGTATGTTTCACACTTTGTGTGGACGGTTTCACATTGGTGGAGCAAAGCTTCAGTCAGATAATTTGCACCTTTAATGTTTTACCTAGTTTTGTTCTCATATACTCTTTTTTTTTTTTGTTTGTTTTTTGTTTTTTTTTTTGTTTTTTGGGCATTACTGTGAAAGTTTGACTAATCAGTCTGAGTGCCCTTCAGGGAAGCTGAACCTTTTCTGGTTTGTACATTAGGATGTGTTTCAGTTAAATTTATTTGCAGTCTGGCCTATTGAGGTGTATTCTTCACCTGAACACCACATAGTTTGTTTATCCAGGTTAATTAATGTTCACCAGTTGGTTTGTTATCAAAGTTGTAGGAAGCACCACATGTTCAACTTCCCTCGTTTCCTTGTCTTTCTTGATTTCTCCAAGGAATGAAGGAAGATTTTTTTTTTCTTAAAGTAATTTCTTTCTTTCTCCTTTGTGAAAAAGAATATCTTAAAAATAAGTCAGAGTTTAAAATTGCAGAATAATTTACCATTACTTTGATAAATATGATTAGTAGAGCTCGTCTTTCACATGGTTAAAGTTTCTTTTAAATAAAGAACTAAAACTGAACTTGCTGTTTGTATCAACTGGAACTGAAAAGGGAAGATTTTCTAGACACCTAGG